TGTACCTAGCTAATTGAAGACTCTAAGTAAGGATTTAAGACTTAATTATGACTTTTAACCATCAAGTAGATCATTTCAAGAAGAATTTGTGATTATGTACAAGAATTGGACCAAAGATGATGAATTTAGAGTTAATTCATACATGCATGCTTAGTTTATTTTAATTTCATCATTTTGAACATGATTCATATCATCCATGTTTGAATTATCATGTTCCTTCACTTAAAATCATGTTTTGGGAAGAATTTCTTACATGCATGGAGCTTATGAGCTCAATTTGCTAGTTTCATATGGTTTGAAGAAAAGATTTTACATGCATGTTGTGTTCATGAACATTCATCATGTTTTAAGTTGAAATTGTGAGTTTTTAACAAACCCTTGGGCCATGATTTTATGAAATGATCCTAAATTCTTCATGTTTTACAGGTTTACTATGTTATCTCAAGTTTTGAGGCCTAAGAGATGTGTTTTGAAGGTTGGAATTCGAGTTTTGAGCTTGAAGGTGCAATTTGAAAATTCCAGAATTTGCATCTACGCTCGAGCGTGGGAGTTCATGCTCGAGCGACCAGTCTGAGTGCGTGCACTCCGCTCGAGCGACCAAAAGTCTGCTCGAGCATGAATTGCAAGCTCCCAGAAGTTTCATGTCTTTTACAGATCACTCAAGCGACCATTCACATTTTGCATGTCCGCTCGAGCGAGAACAGCTACGCTCGAGCATGGACCTTATTTTCAAAAATTTAACTAAGTGTTCTAAGGCATGTTTTGGCATCCTCATTGCATCTTAGGCATTCCTAAGCCTTAATTAAGCTATAGTAATAAGGTTATGGATTAGAAACACACTAAGGAAAGAATGTACTAAGTTTCGAGACTGCAAGTGTGTGTGTTTTAGGCAATGTGATAAGAAAGAATAAGAACCAATGTAATGGAAGCTAAGCTGTATTGGCCACTTGAATGTGTAATGATAAGCCATGCTTGTATTATGTTTTTTGTGATTGTAGGTCAAGACTCGAGGGTTGATTGACCATTGTTGGAACCACTGTGAGTAACGTTATTGTAAAGATACGTTCATATGAATTATGTTCCAAATGAAATATGATAAGTTCTGATTTCTGAAATGATATCTGTTTTCGTAAACGAACGTCCCAAGTTTGAAATCTATTATGGCATCCATAGATAGTCCCAAGTCATGGGGGACGGCATGAAAATGCGGGTCCATGACATACAAGTTTACGAGATCTCGTTAGCCACTTCATTGTGGTGATATGTGTTTAATCGGTATCCGGAACCGGTTACTCTAGTCGAAAGACGTTCTGTGATGTGTTCTATGGGATGCACCATTATTATGTTCTGATATGAGAATGATTATGCTCTGGTCTGTTTTCTGCTTATGATATATTCAGATTTCGTTCACTAACCTCTTTACCATAATGTTATTCATTGGGCTTTAGCTCATTGTGTGTATATATATATATGTATAGGTGAGCGTTCTGGAGCCCAAGCATAAAGGCTTTTGTCTGGATCTGTGTTCTGCTGTCAGCCAACCATTGTGCCTCACGTGGAGGTTCCCGAAGCGTCCTGTGTTCAAGTTCTGTTGGTTCTATGTATATGTATGATTTGATTTAATTATGTTGGCTAGACTTAAGATACTATTATGTGTGTGGGTATAATGTATGAATGACTTTTGATTATGTATATAAAGTTTTCAAATATTTCGTTTCATATAAGTCAGCACAGCTCATTGGACAATTATATTTATGTATTAGCTTCCGTTAGCCCCTTAATCTTGTTAATCTGTTCAGAGGCCTTCGGTAATCCAAGGATTACTGGCCGGTTACGATGCTAAACCTATAGGGGCGGGTTTGGGTCGTGACAAATACATACATCGTTTTCCCCTAATTCAACTCCCGATTCCCCTATGGATAATTGCATTTCTCTTGAAGATGACACCAGTCCAAGTGTTGGTAACAATCCAACTGTTGGTGAGGGCAGTGTCTCTGCAAAAGGTAAAAGGCCTATGGGTAGAAAAGCTGCAAAAGAATTATTTCGGAAAAATCAAGTCGTTCAAGTTGAAGTTCAAAAAATGAGCACACAATTGGACACATTTAACCAATACCTTGCTAAGAAGGAAAAGAAAAAAAATGAAAGAGAAAAAAAAAGGATTCAAGCACTGCAGGAGATGAAAGAACTTGAGATAAAAAAAACATGACTTTGAGATCAAAAGACAAGAACATGAGATGAAAAAGGAAGAACATATGATAATGACTATGAACATTTCTCATTTAGACCCTTAGACGAAAGCGTATTACACAATGCGAAAAAAATGAGATTTTCGCCAAGTGGTCCTCAAATGTTAGTAACCCAAATTACTATTTTCCCCTGCCTCCTGATGAATAATTACGGGATAATGTAATGAAATTTTCGCCAAGTGGTCCTCATATTTTTATTTTGTAATGAAATTTCATATTTGTTTTTATTTTTGAGTATTTTCTACAAAAAGAATGTAATATTATTTTTGCAATGTATAATGTAGCAAAACAGTTTAGTATAATTAAATTTTTTCAACAAAGTATAATGAGAAAATAAATATATTTTTCCAAATGAAGGCAATAAAAAGATAAAATTTATTTATTTATTTTTCCAATTTTTCAATTTTTTTTTTCATTTTTTATATTTCTCTAGTCGGGAATAATATAAATATATAACTTTTTTTTACAAGCAGTTAAAAAAAGTCACAAAAGACAACAAAAAAAAAATCACAAAAAAATCTATATCCAAACAACACCTACAAATTTGGAGACAAAGTTGGTTGGGATTTGCCAAAATAGCAAATGACCATTGGAGCACCATTGCCATAATTTAACAAAATAGCACTATTCATTGTCAAATTATAACAATAGCAATGACAATATAACAACAACCATTGGAGATGCTCTAAAGGGAAGAGATGAAAGAGTAAAAATTTACTTTATAAACAAGTGAAATTTTTTTAATTTTTGTTCATTTTAAAAAAATTTGAAATTAATTATATTTTTTTAAAAAACCAAAATAATATATAGAATATATTTTTGTTTTCATTTTTTTTAAAAATAAAATAAAAACAAAATCAGAAACAAAAATCTTAACCAAACCACCACGCAAATTGTAGAACTCTCTCTCTCTCTCTCTCTATATATCTGTCTGAATAAAATCTCTCTCACATAATCTCTCTTTTCCTCGTTTCACACTCTCTCTGTCTCTCTAGACTCTATCAACGGTAGTCGGAGAACTTACCCTACGATCATAGGTTAGTTTTCTTCTCTGTCTCTGTCTCTGTCTCTCTCTCTCTTACTATTTGTTGTTCTTATTTGTTGGAGCTTCTCTATCTTTATTTATTTACTTTTTTTTTTTCTAATTCTAGATGAGTTAGAATTGGAGTTAGTTAATTGTTATCTCATTCAGTTAACTTACTGGGTTTATGCTATTCTTCTTCAATGTGGGAATTATAATTGCAATGGGTGTTTGATAAGATGGAGATATAGGAGAATAATAATGGCCTGTTTAGAGGTCTCTTCTTATATTTGCTGCTTTTGAGTCTGATGTGAATTGTTCTTATTCTTTAATCTTGTGCCACTGCATTAGGTAATTGTTATTTTCTTGGCTGGAATAGTTCTATTTCCCCCCTAGGCTTCTTTCTCTCTGAACAGTCACACACAAACAAGCCCTCTTTCCTTCCCTCTCTTAAGCGCCAGAATGCTCCATCTCATTGTGTGCGTGTGAGGTGTTTGTTAAAATGTCAAGCTGAGAATAAGACATCCAATATGTAAAAATATGAATTCACAGATATGTTAGGGCATCTCAAGCCCTTAATCATTACCCATATAGCATCAAAGTTAAATTAAAGTATAAAAAACAAAAAATGAAAAAAAAAAGAGCCCATAAACCAGTTCACTCCTCTACCTCGTATCAAAGAAAAATATATCATCCCTCCATTTCATCACCTCCAATTGCATATCAAAATAAGGTTTACTAATTTTTTCAGTCAAATCAAGGGAGATGGCCTTAGGGCATCTCCAACCCTAAACTCAAACTTAAATTTGAGTAAAAAGTTATTAAAATTCCCTCCATTCTTTTACTCAATTTTTTTTTATCAATTCTACTCAAATCAACAGGCCTTTTTTTTAGAATCACTAAAAACAAACATAGATACACATATTTATACGTATATAAACCTAATATAACATATATACTTGTTTCCACAAATTCTTGAGTTTGCCAACAAAAATTTCTAATCACACTACCACTCGCAAAAATTTGAAAATTCAATTTTATTTATTACACTTATCATAATAATAAACATACACTCACCTTTTAAACCCTAATCAGAAGACAAGGCAGATGATGAGGAGAGTGGTGGGGTAAGATAGAGAGAAGCTAGGGGGGAGGCATCAACTGTAGTGGATGGTGGCGTTGGTAGTGGCAGTAGTGGTGGCCAGTGGAGATGGTAGTGAAGGGGTGGGTTCGCAAAATAGGCTCAGATGTTTTGTGATTAGGGAAAAATTGTAATAAAAAAAGAAAAAGAAAATAGTGGCTGTTATGAGATAAAAGTGTCATGTAAATCAATAACAAGAATTAGGGTAATTTTTTAATTTTACATTCTTAAAAAATCAAATGATCGAATACAATTGATCTCAAACTATGCTTTTTGTTATATTTTGATTCTTAGAATATGCTTTCTGTCTTTTTTAGTCTCCAGACTATGTTAAAGAAATATTAGAGAAGTTCAATTTTAGATATATAAATTCACCAATAATAATGTGGTAAGGGAGTTTGGCCCTATATGATTGAGGGATTGGGTTTCTTTCAAGTTCAAATATGAAATTGAGACAATTTGAGAAGCCCATGGTGTTACCATGAATCAATCTAAAATGTTCATTTTGTGGAAACCATACATATCATCCAAAAAAATGGATGATCTATTTTCAAAACACACTTGTCGTTCATTTTTATAGAGACAAATGGGATAAGATGAATAGAATACAATTATTGAATTGACCCTAATTTTTTCAGTGGATGATATACAATGAAGACTCTACAAAATAAACAATTCAGATCATAGAAATGGGACTCGTTTTGCATCCCACAGGCCCATCAAGTTCCATTTTGAAACACACTTAGATATAGAAAACAAAACTTTAGATAGTAAGGTAAATCAATGTAACTAAGTGACAATATTTTTTTCATGCTTTAAAATTTGTCATTTCCTTCTAGTTCTGCACCAAGGCTGCGGTAGATCTTATCCCACTCATCCACACTGCTCTTGTCCTTTGTTGATAAAAGACCACTAATTGCCACAACTGCAAGTGGCAATCCCTCACATCTATTCAAGATGGCTTTTGAAAGTCTTTCCAAATGTGAAGGGCAAGAATTCTCCATAAATGTTTTCCTGCAAAACAATGTCCAGGATTCTTCGGGAGGCAAGGGCTGAAGATTATAGACATCACCATAATATTCTGTACTAGCGATAGAAGCTAAATCTGCATTTCTGGTTGTCAGCACTACGCTACTCCCACAATTGCCAATGGGAAACACATATCTAAAAGATTGCCAGGCATGAATATCCCATAAATCATCGAAAACAAGCACATACCTCTTTTGTTGCAAGAAAGCATTAATTATCCCTTTTAAGTTGTTGGTATCCATGTTGTCCATCCTTTGTGGGACTGGTTGCTTGATTTCGTTAAAAAGTTGTTTGATGATGTCTTTTAGGAGCACCTCAATCTTGAAGGATTCAGAAACAGTGATCCAAACATGACTCTGGAAATGATTCTTCACAATTGCATCATCAAAGACCTTTTTAACTAGTGTTGTTTTGCCCAATCCGCCCATTCCTGATACGGAAAACACCTTGAGTCTGGGGTCTTCATGCACCAACCACCTAATTAGTTGCGATTTGGGCTTGTCGATGCCCGCAAGCTCAGATTCATGGAGTAGAAGGGCATCGCCACGATAATCATGCCACGCTGTGTTAAGACCAATGGACCTTGAGCTTGAGCCTTGCTCTAACATACCATAACTATCATGGTACCTCTGATGTCCCTTCGAAATATCGATGACTCTGGACTTCATTCTTTGAACTTCAGAACCAATTTGGTGACGAGCTATTAAAGTCTTAATACAGCAAGAAACCTTACGAAGAAAACCACGAAATCCAGCGCCATGATGATGTCCAAGGCGAAGCATGAACAACTCGAGAACATCTCCAATGTCGTACGCTGCTTCTCGAACTTGCTTGACCCATACTTTGAGTTCGGGATCGTTCTCTTCCATAGCATCGGCAACTCTGAGGAAAGCTGTCATGCGCTCGAATTCATCTCTAATGTATTGGATCTCATCTCGAACTCCGGTCAACAAATTGGCTTCTTGTTGGAGGAAGGGTGCGAAGTTGGCTAGTAGATGGAACACTGCAGTCTCGGCCATTTTGCAATGTTGATGAGAAATTAATAATGGTGATGGTGGTCACAACTCTAAACTGAAGATGAGAAATGTTGTATATGATTCATAATCTCCTTTTTCTTCCACAAGCACGTGTTTGGTGACTCCTTCACATGAACCACCAGTCTTGCTTAAGAAAAAGAAGCAGCTATCAATCTCTCCCTATCTAAAGTGAATAAGTAAAACCCGAATTTGGTTACTAGTTTTTCTGTTTTAATTATATATTGGCAATTTCATCTATTTAATTTTCAAAATTTTTAATTTTAATTCGTGTAGTTTAGTTGGAAACAATTGTACAGTAAAATTTGATTTGATAAACAAAATTGTTTTAAAATTTGAACAATTTAAATTGTATAACACAATACTCATTTTTCTTTCTAACGATAAACTCCGTGATATGGTGCAATTGGGTGCATAGGAAAATTGAGATTTCAAAAAAGGACTATGAATCATTTTTCATCCAAAACTTTAATCACTATATTAAATTTTCTTTAATTGGCACAAATTATAAAATTTAAGATCAAATATATTACGATTGACATGACATGAACCAAATTGACATAATCCATAATTAATCCGCAATGCATTTAATCTAAACTACTGACATCTATTAATATGCAAACTAGTTTAATACTAAAAAAATTAAATTATTTTTTTTTTTTTTTTTTGAGAAAAAAAAAAAAAAAAAGACGAAAGATTAAAAAAAAAATTGCAAAAAAAAATGAAAGGAAAAGAAAAACATAGCTCGCAAGGTTGAAAACCCGGAATGGCGGCATTGGCAAAAGTTAGAGCGTAAAAGGTGAGGGTTAATACACGAGTGCACCTTAACCTGAACTACGTAAGGCTTGATTCCCATGTTTGGGATACATAGGCAACTTCGCTCTGAAGTCCAGCCACAAACATTTCCAAATTGATTGTGTCGATGTAAGGTTTTTGATTAGCTTTGCCTTCTCTGAATTCGAGAGTTCGGTTGTAACCGTCACTTTGAGGACTGTTTACAGTATGTTGCGGCGCTATTCAGACAAGGGGCAACTTTCCGTTGCCATGAGTCGCCATTCAAACAAGGGGCAACTTTCCGTTTCCGCG